AAAAAAATAGTGCCATTGAATAGGACATCTAGGAAAAACAAATCAAGATCAAACTTGTAGAGGATAAAGGACATTTTCTTGTAGCTGTGTTTTCAAGTCGACAAGACCATACAGATTCACCTAAAACAAGTTGTTTCAAAGCAAATACGAGTAGAGAAAATAGAAACAAGAGCCATTTGAGACTTTTATTGATTAGACACAGCTAAAGTTGAAGGGCTGAAATGGGAGATGCTGGTGCTCAGTTACTTCCATAGAGGATACATTTTCTTTTGGAGGGTATGTTGAAGAGAGAACCACGTATCCTGATAACTTAGCAAGGAGTTCTGTGATGGAGGTCATGGATAGTTTACTGAACAGTGAAGGTAAGAATTGGCATTTGTTTCCAGCCTGGAGAGACAGCTTGGTGGGAAAGTGAATGTTTTAGAGAACAGGACTGGGGTTTCCTGGTGGCTTTGGGACCTTCATCCAAGATGCCTTAATTTCTTCGACCACTGTCTAGCTTCATTCTTTATTTCAACTTGGCAATAATTTTTCAGGACTTGATACAAAAAAAAAATCCAGTTTATCCTATACAGAGGCTCTACTATAACATGCTGTGGACCCTTACTGGCAGCCCTGGTTGCAGTGATTCTGAGTTTCATACTATTCTTAGCAAGCACGATTCAGTGAACAGCTTTATCCATTAGCGCTCACTTCACAAACCCATCTGCCTGAAAGTTGAATGCAATTGAGCATCTCAAAATTATGGTAGACCCACTACCTGATTTTTTAAAATGTTGGTCAATTGATTTCTCTTAGTTTGATCAATATATCTTCAATGTATTGCTTTTTTTTTTTTTTGCCTTGGTTTTGGAAATTTAGGTACAGAAGGTTTCACCAGTTGCCTAGTAAATATGTAGCACCTAGTGGGGGTTCAGTTAATATTAGTAATGATATCAGTGATCCCATCTCTAGTCACAAAAAGTATACCATGTCCTTGCTCACTTTTCTCAACGGTAGAGAAGAGTAGCTGTACTTTCAATAAACACCAATGACCACTCTAAAGTTTGCATTTGAATTACAACTTTTTTTTTTCCTGTGGGTTTCTCACTGTACATATCCCCTTTGGGTCCCCTATGTTCTTAGCCTTAAATTTTACTTATCTGGCCCAACATTGTTACTGGCTATTTTGAGTCTCAGAAGAACATTTTATTATCATATTATGAGACTTTTCCCTCTGGCACATAATATTTAATTTAAAAACTTTTACTTGGCTAACTCTATAACTTCAAGTTATAGTTTATACACAATGGATAGTATGAATAGAGATCATTTACTCTAGAAGCCTGTTTACTGTTGAATTATTTGGTTGTCTTCAATTATTTCCTTACTGATATTTTTAGTTAGGTCGGGCTGCTATAACAAAATACCATGAACTGCGTGGCTTAGACGTCAGATATTTATAACTTATAGTTCTAGGGGTTGGAAGTCTGAGATCAAGTTGCCAGCAGGGTCAGGTTCTTGGTGAGGGCCCCCATCTTGGTTTACAGATAGTCATCTTCTTGCTGTGCCCTTACATGGAGGAAAGAGAACTAGCTAGCTCTCTGTCCTTTTCTTATAATGGCACTAATCCCATTACGGGGGCTCCACCCTCATGATCCAATTGCTTCCAAAAGGCCCTACCTCCAAATACCATCACATTGTGGGTTAGGATTTCAACATAGGAATTCTGGGGACACACAAATATTTAGTCCATTGCACTGATTAGTTCAGTAGCTACTATAATTATTTTTTCACTGTTTATATTGAGTGTGTGTGTGTGCGTGTGTTCGTTCATCTATACTAATTGTCCAACCCACAGTTACCTTACATTTTTAGTACATAGCAGAGAGACTATTTGAAAGAGATGGTCTACTAGAGTTCCAGAGTTTTATAATATTATTCATAGTTTTTCAAATGTTACTGAATCTAATTTATGAAAAAGGTCAGTGACATTGTGTTGCTTGAAGAGTTCAACTATTTTCTTTCTTAACAATTTATTCTTGTAATTGATCTCATAGGTTCTAATGCCTTCCCGTAATCCTCCTCCAGCCAGCCTGGAGTTCAGCCCAGCCACCGTGGAGGAAAGCCAAGTGCTCCCAGTCAGCCCGGGGAGCACAGAGCACAGCATCCCAACACTTCCCACTAGCACTGTCCCCTCTGGGTCCACCCTATCTGAGCGACCCATATCTCCTACTACTGCTCCCAGGACAGGTAACTTTTAAAAAATACAATTGGGAGAAATGTGCTGAAGACAGGCTGTAGATTTGGTAGTGACAACTTTTAAAGTTTACTCATTCCCTCCAGGCACATTTTTGAGCGTCTGTCATGTGCCAGAAACGGTGCTGCTTACTGGAAATAAAAAGATGATTAAGACATTGTCTTTCCCTCAGGGACTCCATAGTCCAGGAGAGGAGACTGACAGGTAAAGAGATGGTTCTAACCTAAACATCTGTACCCCGATAATATACTGAAATAAAACAAACAAAAAAAAATTAAAGAGATGGTTCTGATACAATATGGTAAGTGCTGTGAGAGGCTGCTATGGGAGCAGAGAGGGGCATCCTGACTCACTAGGAGAGGCCAGGGAAGCCTTTCCAGAGGAGATGATGCTAGGGGAGAGTGAGCTGGCAAAAATGGGGTTGACCTGTCATTCAGGTCGAGGAGCAACATAGGTAGTAACAATAGTGATTATCATATTTACTGAGCACTTCTGGAGTGCCAGGCACCATCTCGGTGCTTCCCATCCATCATCTCATTCATTACTGTGCAAAAGAAGAGAAGTACAAGAGCTTATGTGAAATTTGGAAGAACTGTAAGAAGTTCGTTGTGGATGTAACTAGAGTGGTAAACAGAGCAAGAATTTGAAAAATCATGTATTTTGTGCTAAGGAATCTGTGCTTTATTGGATGGATGTAGAGAATCAATCACTGAATGGTTTTAAGCAGGAAAGCAAAATGAGCAGATTTGTATTAAGAAAATAGCTTGGAGTTGCCTGGAGGTAAGAAGACCCATTAGAAGGCTATAGTGAGTGGTTGCAGTGATGGAGAGAAAGAACTAGATTCAAGAGATAGTAAAGGAGCAGAATCATTGGGATTTGATGAGTGATTGAATGTCAGGGTGAAGGAAAAGGACTCTGAGATATATGAACGTATGGAACTGGAATTAGACGAGTGGTTGGGCAGAAGATAAAGGAGTGGGAGTCATTGGTATACAGGTGATAATTGCAGACATGGGAGCAATATGAGATTATCCAGGCAGAAAGGTGGAACTTTGGGGATGTCATTGTATAAGGAGCTGGACGAGCAGAGGGAGCCTACAGAGCTGACTGGGTGGTTATGCCAGAGGGGTGGGAGATAAAGAAGAAAGCATGGAATGAGGGAAGAAAAGGAGGAGAGAATTCTGTAGAGGAGAAAAAAATGATTTTCCCTCTATCCTTCTAAGTTAGTCTGGGACCCCTGTAACAAAAGACAGAAAAAACAAACAGGAGTTTATTAACATGTATGTTTCATATATACATGGGAGCTATCCAGGGAGATGGGTGGATCTCAAAGAGATAGACTAGAATGCCAGTTTATATAGCGTCTTCAACTAAAACAAAAAGGTGTGGGGAAGGCAAGTGTTGGAAAGTGCCCAGAACAAGAAATGTAAGCAAGAGGAAGGCTTGTTATGCAGAGTTAAGTCCTTGCTTTCTCCATTGATATGAGTCTCTTGGGATTTAGTCATTTTTCTCTTCCTGGTACAGAAAGGGAGATACCCTTACAAATGGGAAATGACATTTCCTTTATGGATGTAAATTCCTCTCAAAAAAGGGTAACTTCTACTCCGTTTTCAGAGCTTCTCCTTGTCTGCTGTTTCTCAAAAGAATCAGCTTGGAATAATCCTTATACTAAAGAGGCATATTTGCAGTGGCATATTCTAGTCTCCTACAGTCATATTTTGGGTTGGCATATTCTGGTCTCCTACAGTTTCAAAAAGGAAGAAGTAATCAAAGCGCCGTGTGTTGCAGAGGCCACAATGAGGATTGAAAAGCTTCCCGTAGATTTTTCTAATAAAGAAATTATTAGAATATACAAGACCTAAGGGTCACCTTTCCTGAGCTTTTCTGTGGGTCATGTATTTTGGAGATTACCTTCTCTAACTCTTTTTTTCACTATGATCCTGAGCTTGAGTACAGAGAAGGATAATGGTGGAAAAGAAGCCATGTAGTACCTGGAAAGGGAAACTGGCCTGGGAAGGAGGATCTTTGGGTTCTAATAGAACCTATTATGTAGGGTTATTATGAGGATTAAATGAATGGATCGTTTTAAAGCTCTTGGAATGGTGCCTGACATGGCTTAATCTGGTATGTAAGTGTTGAAATAAAAACATTTAAATTAATTAAATATTAGTGGACCTATTGCTAATTATTCATATAGCTTTGGACAGCTTGCTTTGCCTTTCTGGGGTTCAGTTTCCCCTCCATAAAATGATAGGTTTGGACCAATGTCTCTTCTAGATCTACAATTGCTGACTTTCAGGGCAGAGAGTTAGTGAAAGTGGCAGGAGAGAGGAGCCAGAGAAGCCACGGAGAGCCTCTGCAGATGGTCTAGGGAGCACTCGAGGGCTGAGGACTGAGAGAAGAGCAAAGTAAACAAGCAACCTGTCTCTCTGACATCTCCAAGCAATCCATCCCTCTGGAGTGCACTCAGCTGTTTTTTTTTTTTTTTAAATCTTTACTTGTTTCTATGTGGTATTTGACGTATTACAATGTATTTTACAAGTGAAACTAATGTCCAGTCGAGTCAAACTGATAGAACCATGGTATGAATATATCAGTGTAATCCTGGTTATGGAGAAAGTAAATGAGTATTGTTCTGAATGCTTATTTAGTGGCTACACGCCCTTGATAAGAGTTAACATTCCTGCTGCTTGAGTTAAAATAGGTGTTTTATATTGAGGTCAACTGGATTTTTTCTTGGAAAGTTTCCAAGAGCAAGGCTATTAGCAGTAATTCATGAGGTTACTATCAGAATTGAGTGTTGTGTGACTAATGACACAGAAACACTTGTGACTATACTCAGTCTTTTTATAACTAAAAATAGCTCACACTAGGGAGTCAAAAGCTGGCAGCAAGAGGGAAAATAGGCCCAATCCACAGTACCCCACTATTTCACACAACCTTGTCACCCGACACATTGCTCAGTCAATTTAAACCGTTATTTTCTTCACAGTGCCGACTCATATTGATGGTGTTAAACCCTGCAGCATCATATAGGGCACAGTTCAGTTACTAGCCAGAGGAAAAAATTGTCTCAGGTAAAATCATCTGAAGAACTATTACAAAAACATGTACTATTTTATTTTATGAATGTTAAAGATAGATCTATCGTAGGGCAGTAACATGACATCATTATATTATATAATGGCATGTACTATTTCTAATTAACTTTTAGTGAAAGAACTTACGGTGTCTGCTGGAGATAACCTAATAATAACTTTACCCAACAATGAAGTTGAACTGAAGGCCTTTGTTGTGCCACCGCCACCTGCAGGTGAGAGCTTGACTTTCCTCTGGGACCACCAGGGTTGGTGAAGGCCTTCTTTTCTTCCTTAATAGGCCTTTACAGGTTGTTTACGACATTGAATCATTTTCACATATTGCATGAACAAACGAGGGTGGAAGACAAGGCTTTGATTGTCCTAAGCATCAAAATTTATTGAAATAATTTAAAATGGGGGAGTAAGAGTATAAGAAATTAAGTACAGAACATATCCCTTTAGTTAGCCAGGATGGAAAGTCATAAATTTCTGACGATGCAAAACAGAGTGGTATATTAGAGCAGGAGAGGTTGCCACATGCAAGATCCTGACCTGTGATTGCCCACAGAGCCTGGGAAGATGCCACTGTGAGGAGAGGAAGGTGGCATGCACCCAAAGGTTTGCTCGCAGATACTGCAGAGTTGGCAACATGGCTCTGAAGTTCTCAGGATACCTCACACCAGCTGCTCAAAAAATGTTGCTCAGAAAGCTCTTTCTTCTACTTGTCCGTGCTCTGCTGTTCAGTGAACATTTGGCTGGTCCCCGTGGCCTGTCAAGTGCATTCTTTATTATGATAGACTCATTCTTAAGGTGTTTGATTCATTTTTCCCCCCCCATCACATACGGGTCAAAATTTTATAAACAGAGATGATAATATTTGGCATTTGCATTTGAATCCTTTGAGATGACATACCTCACAGTTCACTAATATCTGAAGGTGGGAGACAGCTTCATCTTTTGTTTTTTTTTTTTTGAGACAGAGTCTCACTGTGTTGCCCAGGCTAGAGTGCTGTGGTGTCGTCCTCGCTCACAGCAACCTCAAACTCCTGGGCTCAAGCCATCCTCCTGCCTCAGCCTCCCGAGTAGCTGGGACTACAGGCATGTGCCACCATGCCCGGCTAATTTTTTCTATATATTTTTAGTTGTCCGATCAATTTCTTTCTATTTTTAGTAGAGATGGGGTCTCGCTCTTGTTCAGGCTGGTCTCGAACTCCTGAGCTCAAACAATCCGCCTGCCTCGGCCTCCCAGAGTGCTAGGATTACAGGCGTGAGCCACCGCTCCCGGCCAGCTTCATCTTGACATAGAGATGTTCACTCTATTTTTGTGTCCCTAAATAAACCCCTATAGCAGATCAAATGAATGGCAATCTCCTTGCCTTTTATTAAAAGGAGAAAAGTACCATGGATTGTACTATGTTAAAACTTATATGGATAGTCAGATGTAGCACCCTGTAAGGAAATCATCAAATACTAACAGTGATGGCGGGGTATGGTGGCTTACACCTATAATCCTAGCACTCTGGGAGGCCGAGGTGGGTGGATCGTTTGAGCTCAGGAGTTTGAGACCAGCCTGAGCAAGAGCTAGACCCCGTTTCTACTAAAAATAGAAAAAATTAGCTGTGTGTGGTGGCACGCATCTGTAGTCCCAGCTACTCAGGAGGCTGAGGCAGGAGGATAGCTTGAGCTCAGGAGTTTGAGGTTGCTGTGAGCTAGGCTGATGCCACGGCACTGTAGCCCAGGCAACAGAGTAAAACTCTGTCTCAAAAAAAAAAAAAAATACTAACAGTGAGGTTAGGGAGTTGGTTTTTTTTTAACTTTATTCATTTTCTAAATTTTCTATAAGATATATGTTTTTATAATAAAAAATAAATTTTACATTAAAAAGATATAAAAATGTTATTCCTTACTTGGATGATAGTTGAAAGTCAAGTTCAGTATATCTAAGGTAATCAATACTGAGTTTAAGGCTATTATCTCTTTCCCTCTGCACAGGTCATATAGTAACCTCTCAGAATTTATAACTACTCATATTTCTTTTTTGCTCTCAGAAACAACCTACAGCTATGAATGGAGTTTAATAAGCCACCCTGTAGACTACCACAGTGAAATAAAACAAGGACATATGCAAACTCTTAACCTCTCTGAAGTAAGTAACTGGAGATTGTGTGTTTGACAGCACTCCATAGAATTCAGCTAATGCCTTCTTAGCTGTTAACCCCAAAAGTCTTAGGATTAAGGTCAAAAAAAGGATATAAATGAATAAAAGATATAAATATAAACAAATAAGGCCAAGCATGGTGGCTCATGCCTATAATCCCAGCATTTTGGGAGGCCGAGGTGAAATGATTGCTTAAGGCCAGGAGTTTGAGGCTGCAGTGAGCTGTGATCATGCCACAGCACTCCAGCCTGGGCAACAGAGCAAGACTATTAAATAGATAAATAAAATAATTAATTAATTATAAAAACCGTGTACGTAGGCAGGCAGATGGTCAAATAGGCTTCAGATAGCTTTTCTTTATTTTAGTTACTTGACGTATCAGCTTAGGGGAAAGGGTCTAGTTTCCCAGAAATCTCTGTTTCGAAGCTAAAAACCTGTTCTAACTCTCGCTCTCCTTGCAGTGTTAGAGACATTCTACTTCTTTCTGGTTCTTAATTGGGCACATTTCTAGAGTTACCAATAATTCCATTCCAGTTCACAAATTGCTTTTACTATCAAATATTGCTCCAAGATATGAACACCTCATAAGAAACATGATCTTTTCCTGGCCCCTAAGGATATATAAACTAACTTAGCTTCCAGAGGTCTCGTTTCCTACCAGGTGATTATGTTAGCTTCATCTCCTGAGACTACACAGCTAGTGGTATAACATGAGTGGGCATCACCCCCATGTCAACTGAGTTCTGCTTGTCAAAGTGTGGTACCCAGATCACCAGCAGCCAATGCACCAGAGCTACGAGTTAAAAATGCATGCTTCCCAGACTCGTACTTTTGCGACTGCTGCTTTCACTTAGGTCTCTGTAAGTCCCATGAATATCTGTAACTAAGCTAAATGCCTGTCTAGGTAACCTTTACTGCTCCAGAATGCAGGCTTCAAACATGTGGCAGACTCTTGACAGATCCAAATGAGACTTTCTCCTGAGCCTGTTCTCTGTGCTGATTTGGGAGTATGACTTCTGGGATATTTTAGCCTTTTCTAGGTAGTAAACCCATTATGTCTTTTGCATGTGTATTTGTATAACTGCTCTTTTGTGTTGCAGTTGTCAGTAGGACTTTATACCTTCAAAGTAGCTGTTTCTAGTGAAAATGCCTTTGGAGAAGCATTCATCAACGTCACTGTTAAGCCAGGTGAGCCTGTGTAAGAGAATGGCTTTCTGTTGTACAGGTTTATCTCAATTTTGGGTGCCTGGATGACATGGTTATATATATTTTTACATTAGGCTCTGTTGCAGAGAAAACATGCAAGAATTATGTTTTCGCTTTTTTTTCTGCTTTCTGTATAACCCTTAGGTCTCACTTGACACTGCTATTTAAGACTACAAGGCTATTGCTTGCTGTTTCTGAATGGTGGCAAATTGTCTATGCCTTAGCCTGCTCTGTGTGACATTTACTCCATCCACTCTTACCTTCTACCTCCACGCCCATGACTCACTTTCACCTTTGGAGCAGGGGCATGTCAGATACATTCAACTGAACAACAAAGGAGTCAGGGGACAATGTGTGCCATGGGCTTCCAAGCTCACCACTAGCCCATAGGTTGTGCATTCGTGTGAATTAGAACTAGGTGGCTCTTTGGCTGGGTGGGCACAGCCCTGGCTCAGTGAGCAGAAGTGGTCTGGCCTTCAGCCTCTGCTACCCCTCAGCTGGGCTGTGGGCACAGAATGCACGATTGAGGTAGAACTCCTCTGGGCCAACTCCACCTCCAGCCTTTTCCTGAGGGGCCGACAGCTCTATCTTTTGCATATTTTGCCTGATGATTATTATAGCTGAAGCATGGAGTGGCAGGGGAGCTTCATCAGTCAGAGATTTAAGATCCAGTTAATAGGAGCTGGAGCTATAATCCATTGCTTCCTGTTCTGTAGCTACTGCTCACGTTCTGTGACTAGCCCCTTGGTTATCACTACACATCTGCACTGAGCCTGGGCTACATACAAAAATATAAATGTACAGACAAGCTCCTAAAATTTATGGGAAGACTCCAGATTTTATAAAGTGCTCTCCATGGTCGAGCCTGTACTATAAACACTTTCTTGGCAGGATGTTTATAATATGACCAATTTTTGGAAAGTAGATGATTTTATTTGGGCAATAGCATATGCGTACACGATGTGGGTTCAGTCACTGTCATTTTTTTCTGTCACAGCCAGAAGAGTCAACCAGCCACCCATAGCAGTTGTTTCTCCCGAAATACAAGAGCTCACTTTGCCTTTGACGTCAGCCCTCATCAATGGCAGCCGTGTGTATCCTGCGATCTCTGCAGGGATTTTTTTTTTTTTTTTTTCCCTACATACAGCAAGATTTAAAGAGTGCTCTGAATGAAGGCTGGGAAGACTTATGGGCTAATACACTGATAAATGATTGCCTCCTTCTTTAATTTTGTATCTTCTTTAATTCCTGCAGCACTTCTCTGTCCTGTGTTTACTTTTCCTCAGCATTTGTCTATTCTATGAGAAAGTTCTTTAAGGCCAAACTATTTGATTGAGAATTAAAGCAATTAAAGAATCTCCTTCCAGTGTGGTATATATGGTTAATAATTGGAAAATCACTTTTAACAACTGTCAGAAGGGGTGCCTGCAGTGAGAGTGGTTAGTGTTTTATGTGTTAATTTAGTTCAGGCTTTGTTCCTTCTAGTAGAGTGTATGTTGAAGGGGTCCCAACATAACTACAGATGTCCATGCAGATGAGAATAGATCGAAAACACATCCCGTGTTTGACATGGTTCAATAATATCAGTGTACCTGGTAATTGCATTTTATGTGCATTTAATCACAAAGCTAATACCAAATCTTGTAGATAGTGAAGAACAGTTGCCTTGGTCGTGGGGAGAATACTTGCTAGACATTAAAGCTGCTCCATTTTACAAGCCTGCAAATGTACAGAGAGCATATGGGCACGACTATTTGCATCTATTCAAATATAGATGTCCATATTTCCCCCTGAGCAATGTAGGGAGAATAAAACATATTTTAAATGGACATATTTACAGGAGAAAATGCATCACTATTTGATTCCTCGAATTCAGTGGGGCTTAGTTACAGGAAACTCTTCAGGATTATTAATCTGTCACATGAACTTGTTCTTTCCTTAAATGAATTAGATAAAACTGGCTTCCTTTCAGGATTAAATTTCTCTGATTCTGCAGGGCGCGTTTTGTTTACTACCTTTTAAAGTAGGAATGGGAAGTTACTATGTAGGATATGACCTCTCTGGTTTATACCTTAAAAATTAAGGTAGTCAAAGATGTTTTGTAAATTATAGATAAGCATCTCTTAAGTCTTTATGAATCTGTTGGTTCAGATACCTATTTAAAATTATCAGTAGGATCTTGTATGCTGTAGTTGAGGTGAACAGAGGTAACATTTCAATGTGCTGCACTGTATTGATGCCTATTTTTTAAAAATCAGTAGTGCTTGTCACTGTGCTTCTTAAATATTCAACTGAGTGGGAAGAGTCTCACTCAAATCTGGTGGAAATCTAGGAGAAAAATAGTGACGATGATTTAGGGAGTAGAAAAAAGCCTCCTTCTAATATATAATATATGTCCATTGGGATCTATGCAAGTATATACTTTCATATAAAAACAAATTTAAATATGCAATAATAGAAATTACAAAACTTATATTTTACTATTCTTGCATTTCATTCTAGTTTTTATTTTTTAATCTTTTAGAAAGCACAGATGATACTAAGATAGTGAGTTATTACTGGGAAGAAATTACCGGGCCCTTCATAGAAGAGAAGACCTCAGCTGACTCCCCTGTCCTGCACTTGTCTAACCTTAGTCCTGGCAACTATACGTTCAGGCAAGTGGGTCCCCACCATTATCGTGCTTTCCACTACTTATATTTTGACTGTTTCTTTAAATTAAGGCCTATAAAACATTGCTTCTTTTCATTTTGATCAAGAGGCAAGGCAGATTTGGCTTTCTTGTGGGTTTTGATTGGCTGCCACTATAAACTCTGATATCCTCATCAAATAATATAACCTATAAGTGTTTGTTTATTGGAAACATTTGGTTTGGATTGTCAGGAATAGTATGGTGGTGGTAACTTTTTGCTCATTGGGTTATGTGAAAGAAAGTTTGTATCTTTAAAATGAGGCAAAATTGTATAATTATCTGTTAATTGTATGATTATCTTTTTTTTTTGAGACGGGGTCTTGCTGTGTTGCCCAGGCTGATCTCAAACTCCTGGGCTCAAGTGATCTTCCCATCTCAGCCTCCCAAGTAACTGGGATTACAGGTGTGAGCAACTGCACCAGGCCTGATTATTTATCTTAATCTTTTTCTTTTTATGACTTTTTTTTTTGAGACTGAGTCTCATTTTGTCACCCTGGGTAGGGTGTGGTGGCATAATCATAGCTCACTGCAACCTCAAATTTCTGGGCTCAAGCAATCCACTTGCCTGAGCCTCCTGAGTGGCTGGGGCCATAGGTGCCCCATGATGCCAGGCTAATTTTTCTGTTTTTGGTAGTGACGGGTCTTGCCCTTGCTCAGGCTGGTCTGAACTCCTGAACTCAAGCAATCTTCCCGCCTTGGCCTCCCAGGAGGCTAGGATTACAGGCATGAGCCACCATGTCTGGCCTTGTCAGTTTTCTAATTCATTAAGTTTTGCTTTTTATTCTTTCTTCACTTCTATTTACTTTTTTTTTTTTTTTTTACTTCTGTTTACTTTTGATTTAGTTTTTTTTTCTTCTTAGAGTAGAATTTTAGGTCATATATATATATGATCTAAAGTTTTATATATATACACACACACACTCATATCTTCCTTCTTTTATTAGAAAGCTTTTAAAGCTGTAATTTTCCTTTAAGTACTGCTTAGCTGCATCCCATACATGCTGGCATGTTATGTTTTTAAGGTCTCATATAACTCTTTAAGAATATGATAATTCCCAAGAAGGAGCCCATATATATGTATTTATGGATCCTCTGAAGTCTGGCTTTCTTAAGAAACTCTTAAGAATCTGATAGGATTCGTCTTTGACTAACAGGCCCACAAAGGTGCTCAGATTTTGCATATGGTTGTAAAAGCTTCTGTTTGGGTTTATTTGAAATTTTGGCTTAAGAAACAATTTATTCTATTTAGCATGATTATTATTAAAAAACTAGAATATAACAAGTGCTGGGAACCCTTGTGCATTGCTGATGGGAATGTAAAATGGTGGAGCCACTGTGGAAAACACTGTGGCAGTTCATCAAAAAGTTAAATGTAGAATTACCATCCGATTCAGCAAACTACTTCTGGATACATGCCCAAAAGAATTGAAAGCAGGGACTCAAACAGATGCTTGTACACTGATGTTCTTAACAGCATTACTCACAATAGCCAAAAAGATAAGATCAACTTGAATCTCTATCAACACATAAATGGATAAACAAAATGTGTTAAACACATACAATGGAATATTATTCAGCCTTAAAATGGAATGAAATTCTGATATGTGCTACAACATGGATAAATCTTGAGAATATAAATGCTAAGTGAAATAAGCCAGACACAAAAGGATAAATATTATATGATTCCACTTACATGAGGTTGGTAGAGTAGTCAAATTCATTAGAGATTAGAAAACAGAATCATGATTGCCAGGGAGAGGCGGAAAGAGGAACTATACCACTGCTGTTTAATGGGTATAGAGTTCCAATTTGGGATGATGAAAAGGTTTTGGAGATGGAGATTAGTGAGGGTTACTCAACAATGTGAGTGTACTTAATGCCACTGAATTATACACTTAAAATGGTTATAATGGTACGTTTTAGTTTATGTATATGTCACCACAATTTAAAAATTAAACATTAGAATTTTTTAATTAATTAAAAATTACCGCAATTAAAAAAAATATACCTAGCTCTGCAAGCTCATTTTATTAAGAGTGGATCCCTGGAAATGTGCAGGTTCTGCAGAGGCAAGTTGAGCAGCCGCGTGGGGCTTCCAGTGCTCCTGTGCTTGTTTTCAGTTTCCCACCTTGGCAGGCACAGCTCCACTGAGATTTTAAGAGACAAGTAACAATGCAGGAGTGAGAGTACTGAATGTTTACCATGAAAATAAAATTTAAAAAACCCAGAATGCATCTATAAGCAGAAAGAAGGAAATCAAATACTTCCTATAATTTCATTACCCAAAAATAAATACCCTTAACAGTTTGGTTATAGTCCTTTTTCTATACACATGCAAACATAAAACCTTTTATTTTTCTTACTTAGATCAAGATGTATAGGGAGTTTTGTAAGCTACCTTCTATTTTTTTTTCCTAACATTTTAAAAGTTTTATCTTTCACATTCAAATTTTTATCTATCTGGAATTAATTGTGTCTCAGCTGTGGTTTGATCTAATTTTATTCTTTTCCCGTATGTATAATCAACCAATTATCCCAGTGCTATTTACTGTCAAGTCGGTCCTTTCCCAATCTGCAAAGCCACTCTCACCTGCAACAAGTTTCCATATATATGTGGATCTGTTTTTGGATTTCCCATTTATTATTAATATCTATGCTATTAAATATTCTGCAACATCGTATTTGATGCTGTGCAGATATATTATAGTTTATTAATTCAGCCCTATTACCCAATGTTTGGGAGCATCCTTATACTTAAATTTTAGGGTACAAGTAAAATTTCTGGGTCACAGATGTTTGTTACATGTTGCCAAATTAATGTTTACTTTTTATCTGAGGGGTTTGCTAATGTAGACTTGTGGGAACTTTCTGGTCTAAAAGCCCAAGAAGACTTCAGAAAAGTTATTATTAAAAGTATTTTTCTAATACTTTATGTATTTATTGCAGTAAAAGTTATACATAGTGAAATGTACTTTATAAGGTGCATTTGATTCATTTTTATTTAATTGCCCTTTACCATCTGATTGAGGCAGGTTACTGCTTCTAACCCAGGAAGAAATTCCCTTAAGGGGCAAGGAGGTGTCCTGACTCAGCCTGGTTGAGGAGGAAGGACCTTGAGTCCTTAGATGTTTTGTTTGCTGTCAGAGCCAGAGTAGTGTTTGGATCTTGGTTGTGTGGAGTAAGGCCTGTGTTCTTCTGTAGCTCCGTTCTCATATTCCTACTTATATTTAATACCTGGTTAGCATTCATCACTGCTCCCCACTACCATCTTTACCCCAGGAAGACGAGGTGACTCATTTGTGATTTCACTGTTCCCACGACCACAGCAGGAATCAGTTTAGTACAGGAGGGCTCTCTTTGATATTTGTACAGGTTGAGCATTGATTTGCATTTGAAAGTGCCTAATCCCAAAATTGCTTTGCAAGGAGTGTCCTGAAAATATGACTACATTAAGACCTCTAGAAAAGAATTAAAAAATTGAAATGCTTTGTAGCTGCAAATTCATGAGCGATTTACTGTCTCTGCATGCTCAACCTGAAGGCAGAACTTAGATCTGATACACTCTTAGTCTCAGTTATTAGAGAGTGGCTTCTGGGTTGGCTCAGGATGTTTTCTTCACCCAGCATCTCAAAGACTAATCAGAAACCCATAAAGGTTAAACTCTAACATGTGAATGTATTATAAACTGAAAAAAATCATCAACAGCAACAAAAGTGTCCTCAAGTCTATGTGCTTTTCTTTTTTTTTTTTAAGACAGAGTCTTGCTCTGTCACCCTGGGTAGAGTGCAGTGGCATCAGCCTAATTCATAGCAACCTCAAACTCCTGGGCTCAAGCAATCCTCTTGCCTCAGCCTCCCAAGTAGCTGGGACTGGAGTGCTCCACGACACCCAGCTAATTTTTCTATTTTTTTTTTTTTCAGTAGAGATGGGAGTCTTGCTCGTGCTCAATCTGGTCTTGAATTCCTAAGCTCAAGCAATCCTCCCACCTTGGCCTCCTGTAGTGCTAGGATCATAGATGTGAGCCACTATGCCTGGCCTGTGTGCATTTCTTTGCTTCATCCTCAAATTTCTATTTACACCTGTTCTGAACTGTTCTGAAAACTGTGCTATGAGCTGACTAAATGGACCAATTACCTTAAAATTTGACAAATTCTTGCAACCGTGGCTTCCTCTGCTTTTTGTAGGTTGACCATTACAGACTCAGATGGAGCCACTAACTCTGCTACTGCAGCCATAATAGTCAACAATGCTGTGGATGACCCCCCAGTTGCCAATGCGGGACCAAATCAGACCATAACTTTGCCCCAAAACTCCATCACGTTGAATGGAAATCAGAGCAGCGATGATCACCAGATTGTCCTCTATGAGTGGTCCCTGGCCCCTGGGAGTGAAGGCAAAGAGGTGGCCATGCAGGCAAGTTCTCCGTCCTGCCTTGAGACTTTCATCTATTTGTCTGTCTGTCTAGTATTGGTTGGAGGGGGGGCATCAACAGAGATATTTTGTTATTACAGACCATGCTTCAGTCAGCATCCACGTGTGAATCTCCTTGTGCATTTCTCTAGTGTAGATACTAGCAAGTGGAATTGCTGGGTCGAATAATGTGCTCATTTAACATCTTAATAGATGTTGCCATATTGCTTTCCAGAAAAGCCATATTAATTCATACTCCTTCAGTAGCGTTTGAGGATACACAATGGACTTCAGGTTGCATTTTCCTGGGGACACATAAATTTCTTTTCCCAGCCGGATCTCTGTATTAAGTAGAATCATTAGTTTTTCATTATGTCATATTATTTTCTGGTGCTTTTTTAATATTATTTTTTTGTTTTCATTTTGATTTTTGTGTTTGCTGTTACTTAGGGAGTACAGACACCGTATCTTCATTTATCTGCAATGCAGGAAGGAGATTATGTGTTTCAGCTGATGGTGACAGATTCTTCAAGGCAACAATCTACTGCAGTGGTCACTGTGACTGTCCAGCCTGGTAGGTGGATGGAAAAGAGACTTGGCCCTAGAGAAGCCGAACTGATAGCTGGGCTTCTGGGCTTCAGATGCATCAAATTTGGTGGTAACGTCTCTAAATCTCTAAGCTGGTGGGAAATCAGGGCTGTGGGAGGTGAAGCTCCGTATAAAACCAATTTTCTTTTGAGTTTCTGAATCTTGTCTTGACTGGGTCTCTAAACCGTGATACAAAGGACAAAATGAGAGCCGTCCTCAGCACCCTCTGCGGGCTTGGATTTGCCACATGCTCACTCCCACACGGGCTCTGCTCTGCTGCAGAGAGCCCGGGGGGTCTCGAGGGGGCTGGTTGTTATATGTGGCCTGGTACTCAGATGTAGCCAGACCTTGTACTCTAGTAGCTGCCTGATCTGAATGTGAATGATTTGCTTAAATGAAGAAATAAGGGGATTTCAGACTTAAGGCAAAGAGATAATACCTTTTCACACTTAATTCCAGAAAACAACAGGCCTCCAGTGGCAGTGGCTGGCCCTGATAAGGAGCTGGTCTTCCCAGTGGACAGTGCCACCCTGGATGGCAGCAGGAGCAGCGACGACCACGGCATTGTCTTCTACCACTGGGAGCACGTCAGGTAGCGCATCTCACCACCAAGCTGCCAGGTTCACACCCGTGCCGAATGCTAATAGCACCCCTTCTCTGGAGGGTCTGTAGTAAACTTTCAGCCTAGCTTGTTGAGGAGTCAGGATTTAAGCACGTTTCTAGAGGTGGCTGGGCATTATTGATTGAAGACTGTCTCAAGTGCGTGTGGATGCTCATTGACGGTGGAGGCAGGTGGAGCCCAGGGCAGGTGTGCAGGGCAATCTCGGTGTGAGGCGAGCTTGATGCAGAAGAGGTGCAGGGAGACCTGTGTGTGGTCCTGTCTACACCCAACCTATCCTGCAGTGGCTGTCAACAACAGGAGTGCAGAGTGTAAGGGGAGACCCATGCTATCTAACATTTTCTGAGCTTTACATGCTTAATGTCATAGGTTCCGATGTCAGTTCTTAAGAGCCAAATACTAACCTTAGTCCCATTTTGAAGTTGAAGAAACTGAGGCCTGTGGAGATTAATGATATCACATGGCCTAAGATTACCTAGATAGTAAGAGAAGTAACAGTCTTACTGACTGCACCATAATTTCTCTCTTAGGAGATCAATCATCTGGCTCATTCCCTCTTCTCCCACACTCTCCCTAAACATAGACGAGGATTTAACCTAATTTTATTCAAAGAAGAAATGGGAGTAGTTTCTAAGGCTCCATTTTCCAAGGATAGATCATTTCACTGGCAGCTCAATTAAAAAAAAATAAGAAAAATTTTTGCAGTAATCCAGCAGTCTCTGTCTGAAATAGGCATTAGTTTATGACTCTTACCCTGAACTAGAGAATGCAAATGCTGAAGAGTTGTCTTAGAATTCTCTAAATGGCATATATTCTACCTGGAAAAAAAAGCATTTATAGGGACACAAATCACACGCCTGCCATATTCATGATCCTGTGCCCCCTCCCTTTTGTTAACCATGTTCCTATTTACAGGGGCCCCAGTGCAGTGGAGATGGAAAATATTGACAAAGCGATAGCCACGGTGACTGGTCTTCAGGTGGGAACCTATCACTTCCGTTTGACGGTGAAAGACCAGGAGGGACTGAGCAGCACGTCCACCCTCACCGTGGCCGTGAAGAAGGGTGAGTGGGTCTGAAGGTGGATAGGCTGGGCCTGCTCTGCTTTCCAGTGCTACCAGACACTAAGCCAGGCTACGATTGTTCAGAGACATTGGTATTTGCTTATGTGTTCATAGCAGATGCCAAAATCCACCTGGCCAAGGAAAGCCAACCTTCTTCTATCCACATTAGCTATTTTCCAATTGCCTTCTGCAAGGAGACAGCATTTCCTTTTGCTTGTGGAGTGTATCTTCTAGTGGCTTCGCTCTACTTCTGTGACTACTGGCAATGAAAGACTCATGTCCAAATGACACCATTATGCTTTGTTTTCTCTCTTCCTTAAAAGTTCAAGGTCTGTGTTATTACTTAATGTGAACTTTGTGGCCTAGACTAGTGCAGTACTGCTTTAGGTACTTGTCTCCTTGTCTGTTTTTCCATTTGACTGTGAGACGCCTGAGTGCCTTTGCTTCAGATGTTCCTGTGTCCTCTGTATAGCAGAGTGATAGACTTGCAGCAAATCATAAATGCTGAATGAATTAGCGGATGGGTGATTACTATGTGTTAAAGTGCAGAGGAGTAAAGAGCACGGCTGTATAAAAAGGTTTGAGTTTGTGCAACAGTGAGAGTGCGGGGTGCGGGGGCAGTGGCTGCAGCCTGAGGCAGAGGCTCGGCCAGGCAGGGTCATATGTGCTGTGGGTCATGCTTGTGAGTTTGGACTTTATTCTCTGGGCAGTTGAAAGGGGCTGGAGCAGTTTTATCAGCAAAGTGATGTAGATTTGGATTTTTTCAAAGATTTTATTATAGAAATTTTCAACCATACATAAAAGTAGAGAAAATAGTCTTAACAGACCATCATATACCCATCATTCAGCTTCAACAGCTGTCGACATTTTGCCAACTTGTTTTATTTATCAATTAATATTTTATTCTATTTTTTGGAACATTTTGAAGCAAACCCTAGCATCATGTCATTTTAGCTGTAAGGTATGGATCTTTAAAAAGATAACAGATTGATAAGAAGAGAGGCTGAAAGTGGAGAGAATAATTAGAAGGCAGGTGTAATAGCCTGGAGAAGAGATGACATGTGTCCCATTTGAAGCCAAACAAAGGGAGAACAGGAGGACAAAGGATATATTGGGAAGATATTTTAGAGTCTTAAATTCTCAAGACTTGGGAACTTAATGGATCTGGAGGGTAAGAAAGATTGTATCTAAGATGCTAAGATGACACCAAGAGTTTTGTCTTCAGCATGTGGGTGGGTGATGGCACGATTATCTGGAATAGGGCTCACAGAAGAGCAGCAGTTGGTTTGTGAGGATGAAGAATTCAATTCAGATTTTGATACATTGAATTTCTGGCAATGTAGTGCCTAGGTAAAGTGCTAGGGGAGCATCAGACTGGAGTTCAAGAGTACATAACTGTAAAAGGAGAACGCCTGTCCTAATTTCCTGTTGTGAACCTGGATGGGGTCTAGACATTGTATTTGACAGAGTGACTTTTGGGTTAACTTAATTTATTGCCAATCTGTTTTTTCTAGCCTTGTCCTATATCCACAATGGAATTAAGCCTCCCTAACACCAGACTCTCCCCCATCTCCAAATCCTCCCCAAATGGAGTGTGGTGAATGAAATGGAAAAGCTAGTATTGGCACCAGTTGTCTCTGCGCCAATCTCTGGCATCGTTTCTCAGGGTGAAAATGGCTGGTGACCTGTGGATGTTAATCACTCCCTTGGATCAGCACTTGGCTGTCCTCACCCTCATTTTTTGTTGCTTGACTTGTTTCTAAGGGGAAGTTGAGAGGAGTCAAGTTGGGTCCCAGAACCCCATCTGAATAAGCAGCATTTGCCTCTAGTAGCCTCATCTCCAAATTGGTGCTCTTTCAATGCTCCCAGGCCCCTCTTTCCTGAGGCTGTTACATCAGAGATGGCTCTTACATTGTCTCATTTATATCTAGCACCTAGTTAGAGAAGTGAGGGTCTAATTATTTTTCACTCAAATTCTTTATCTTACTTAGACATTCAAGATTTGGCAGTACCAGAAATCAAAATATTTCTGTGGCCAGATAGTGTAGACCAGTACAAAATGATCCAGAATATATTGTAAACCAAAATATTTTCACTTTCAGGATGCTAAATGTAAGTAAGATCATTATTTCCCTTTTCAAGGAGAGAAAAACTGTAACAATATTAGAAAAATTCCCAGTGTATAGCCTGCCCATTTTACCTTTTTCATCCCAAATTATAACCAACTAAGCACAAACAGAGCTTTACGGAAGTCTATATATTATCTTATAGGTATTTGGGGCAGAAAATAATACCTTTTTGGATATTTTAAATCTACTTACTGTAACTGCGAAGTGGAAGAGTTGAGAATGTTTTATGACACACTTCTATCACCAGTGTTTTAAATCAATCTCTCTGCTTTCATTTTTGCTATATTTGACTTAGAAAATAATAGTCCTCCCAGAGCCCAGGCTGGTGGCAGACATGTTCTTGTGCTTCCCAATAATTCCATTACTTTGGATGGTTCAAGGTCTACTGATGACCAAGGAATTGTGTCCTATCTGTGGATCCGAGACGGCCAGAGTCCAGCAGCTGGAGTGAGTACTTAAAGAGAACTACTCCTAAACCACCTATCGTTACATCTGTATTTGTCAGCTTGGGCTGCCACAACAAAATACCACACACTGGGAGGCTTAAACAATAGAAATGTATTTTCTCACTGTTCTGGAGGCTGGGAAGACAAGATCAAGGTGCTGGCCAGTGCAGTTTCTGGTGAGGTCCCTCTTCCTGGCTTATAGACAGCTGCCTTCTCACTGTGTCCTCACGTGGCAGGTGGGGGGTGAGAGAGCAAGAGTGCTTTGGTGTCTCTTCTTATAAGGACACTAATCCTGTTGGATTAAGCCCTACCCTTATGACCTCATTTAACCTTAGTTACCTCCTTATAGGTCCTGTTTCTAGGTACAGTCACATTGGGGTTAGGGCTTCAACATTTGAATTTGGGAGGGACACAATACAGACCATAGCAACGTCTTTGTTATGGCCTCATCTCTCCTGAGGAACATTCCCATGCTCCCTTTAAGGTGCTTCTTCTGCATTTGGCTGTTCTAAGGACTGGAGGCAGTAGGCTGCTGTTAGGTTTAAACAAATGCTGAAGTCCTTTCTGACCTTTCCCTGACCAGACTTGGGATGGGATAGGAAACCATAGCTTGGAAGTACTTTGAAGCAAATTCTTCCAGTGGGAAGGAATCGTTCTCCTCCCTAGTGTCCCTGTTATTCCTCTTTTGGTCCAAGTGGATTCTTTCCTCTTCCTCATATTGTACCAGATATGTCAGTAGGTCAGGGATTGATATTTGCATTTCACAGGTGTACAAAGTGACATGCAGAGATGAAGAGTAACTTGGCCAAGGTCAACTAACTCATTCCTGATAAAAACCAGACAAATCCAGGTTTTTAGCTCCTGGAAGACATTTTTCTCCCATTAGATCACTCTGCCTCTTAAGCTATAAATTCAGGTACATCGTCATCCCTGCTGTTACTAAGGACTGGAGAGATGCACATATACTCTTGGAGATGTACCAAAGGAGTAGTCACAGGGAAGGAACTGAAATTGCTTTTTACTTTCTAAAGCACTTCTAGAATTAATATTATCAGCTAGCTAGTGGATTAGCTTCTAAATGTATAATGGGTCTCTGTTCAGAGCACTTATTTTTTGCTACCATCCTTTTCTGTTAGCAAATTACCATCCCTTCTGTTAGCAGGGATCTAGGAGTTTCTTCTGTAATTCTTTGGAACCTTGAGGACTACAAAACAGATGTTTCTACCAAGGCTTTGGGTCATTTGAGAAGGTGAACATGATACACCATAAGGGAACCTAAGACGAGAACATCATAAAACTGTTTGAAAATAAGACCTGGAAAACCTGTCCTTGCCCTAATTCAAATGGTCTTTCCCTCTGTTAGATAAAATTAATCATTTGGTAATTCCTAGAAAGTGCTTGGTAAACTCAGCTCAGGAAATACTGTCTGAGGAATTTGTGCCCCCTGGTGCTTTATGGGGAAGAGGTGCTGAGAATTACTCCTCTCTTAGCTGACCTGCCAGCCTGGTTCCTCTTCAGCCTCCCTTTTAAAATCATGCATATGTTAAAGAGAAGGGACACTGAGCTTCGGGGTCAACAGAAGCCCAGAAATTGGAAACTGCAATTGATAACTGCCCTGTGAACGGCGTTGTTTTGTAGGATGTCATCGATGGCTCTGACCGCGGTGCAGCCCTGCAGCTTACAAATCTGGTGGAGGGAGTGTACACTTTCCGCTTGCGAGTCACTGATGGTCAGGGGGCCTCGGACACGGACATTGCCACTGTGGAAGTGCAGCCAGGTGCGTTCCCAGGCCCTGGTGCTGGATGCGCGTGGTCTGGCTCGTAGTCTTTGGGGTCTTTGCGGTTAACAGGTGTGACCCACTGTGGCTGCCTCCAGCTCGTGGCTGGGCCTACTTTGAAGATGTCTCTGTACTTGTTGTGTGCCCCAAACAGATCCAGTTTCATAACTCATTAAAGAGAATTGTATTTGGCAACAAGATTTTATTTTCGTGTTTCATTTGTCTTCCTGCCAGAGGACAAAGCCCTAATGAGAAGTGGACACAGGGCTTCCATACCGGAGCGCTGAGGGAGGGCAGCTCCTCTTAGGAGGCCATAACGACCCCCAGCGTAAACTGGACTGGGCAGTGCCCATGCACTTGGAGACAAAGTTCTCTTTCTGGTCCTGGGCGAGAGTGTGAGGGGCTGAAATTTCAACTTAGCCCAGAGTCTAATTAGGTACACCTGATTATCTTTTGGAAAAAAAATTAATACGCAACAAACTGGGATAAAACAAGGAAATAGTATCCTCAGATAGTGGCCTCTGAGGTGTTTGGATGAATTTATCTGAGTCCTAAATCCCAAATGTAGAAATTGCCTATGATTAATTTTAAACTCTCATACAGGCCTCACTCCTTATATTGTCAGGCCTTTGATCGCCAAGTGGAAATGCCAAAACTTCTCTTTTCCTAGACCCCAAGAAGAGTGGCCTGGTGGAGCTGATCCTGCAGGTTGGCGTGGGGCAGCTGACAGAGCAGCAGAAGGACACCCTGGTGAGGCAGCTGGCGGTGCTGCTGAATGTGCTGGACTCGGACATTAAGGTGCAGAAGATCCAGGCCCACTCTGACCTCAGGTATGCGCTGCACACCCGCGGCAGGGCCTCGGCCCTGCACAGTTCCACCTCTTCCCTCATCCCGGTCCAGCAGAAAGTGGTTCATTCCTCTGCTGATTCTGCATTTTTGTACACACTCTTATCCCACTCATATACATTTTTCTCTCAAAGTGCAGGAGCAAAGACAACATTGTTCTAGGTCCTTCCCACAAGTCTCAGTAAATGTTTGTTCACTGAGAATATTCTGAATGAAGGAGCTGGGGAACATCAGAGGGAGCTGGTTGTTAGCTCTGGTGACTTTGGAGGGCCTGTCCATGGTCTGGGGCATGTGAAGAGGATGTCTCACAGCCACACTCCATCCCTGCCCCACGCCCAAGGGGACTGAGGCTTCCCCCAACGTGAAAGGATCACTGATTACCATTTGCTCTCTCCTGGGACTCTATAGGCTGAAACTCTGGCCTTTGTTTTTTATGAGATGTTTGTCTTTAATTGAGTTCTTATATTTAAACTCTTATCCCACCAAGGCTGAGAGGGCAGAGAAAAAGAGAAAGAATATGGGAATGAAAACCTACCATTCACAGTAACTCCATTTACCAGCTATTCTCAGCCTTCCACTTAGGTTAGTTTTCCAGAGAACTAAAGTTTACTTAGAAAAATAACAAATTAATACACATTCTAATTATTTTTATGGGACTCTTTCTAAAATGGGTTATATATTTCCTTTACTTATGAAATACCAAAGACTGAATCAAAGACATGTCAGAAAATGAGGAAAAGTTGTTCCTTGGGCAGATCAACAAAACTGATAAAACTTTGACTAGATTGACCAAGAAAAAGCAGAGAAGACTCAAATTACTAAAATCAGGGAGGAAAGAAGGGACATGGATTACAAGGGAATAATGAGTAATTGTATGTCAACACATTAGATAGCTGAGAAGAAATGGACAAATTCCTAGAAAGACATAAACTACAAAAACTCACGAGAAGAAATTAAAAATCTGAGTAGACTTATAACAAGTAAAGAGATTGAATTAGTAATCAAAAAACTTCTCACAAAACCAAGGACCAAATGGCTCTACTGAATTCTGCAAAACAATAAAGAATTAATACAGTCCTTCATAAACTTTTCCAGAAAACAGAAGAGGAGGGAATATTTCTCAACTCATTTTGTGAGACCAGTTTTACCTTGACACCAAAACCAGATAAAGACATTGCAAGAAAAGAAAACTACAGACTAATATCCCTTGTGAATATAGAGGCAAAAATCCACAACGATATACTATCATACTGAATCGAGCTGCATATTAAAAAGATTATGAATATTAGTCTGTAGTTCATAGCACATATTCATAATAGTCAAATTGTAGAAATAACCCAAATGTTGATCAACTGATAAATGGATAAAAAAATGTGATATAGTCGTACAATGGAATATTACCTGACAATAAGAAGAAATGAAGTACTGACACATGCCATAACATGGATGAACTTTGAAAACATTATGCTGAATGAAAGAAGCCAGACATAGAAGGTCACATATCGTATGATCCCATTTATATGAAGTGTCCAGAATAGTCAAATCCATAGAGTCAAAAAGCAGATTAGTGGTTGCAGGGACTGTAGGAGGAGAGGGGGAGCAGCTGTTAATGGGTATAGGTTGTCTTTTTGGAGTGATGAAAATGTACTGGAATTAGAAAGTGGTGATGGTTGGGCAACTTTGTGAATATACTAAAAGCCATTGAATTTTACACTTCAGAAGGGTGAGTTTTGGCCAGGCATGGTGGCTCATGTCTGTAATCCCAGCACTTTTGGAGGCCAAGGCAGGAGGATCGCTTGAGCCCAGGAGTTCAAGGCTGCAGTGAGCTATGACTGCACCACTGCACTCCAGCCTGGGTGACAAAGCAGGACCCTATTTCCAAAAAAAATAAAATAAATTTAAAAATTTAAAAAAATAGAGGGGTAAATTTTATGGTATATATATTGTGTCTCAATTAACAAGATGCAAGACATCTAAAAGTTATCATTTTGTGTATAGTTGGGTCTGTCTGTACTCAAATACACGTTGTTCCCTTTTTTTTTTTACTTACTGAGCACCGGAGCTTCTGTCCTGTGGAGTTTGGGATGTTCCACCCTCCTAGCACATAAATGCATTCTTGTTCACCAAGGTGATAGCTCTCCAAAGCCCTTTGATTAGGGATTTTTTGTAATTGAAACATAATTTACACATTGCTCCTTTTATCTGAAGGTCTGTCTTTGATCAGCTAGCTGTACTTTGAGACAGAAGAGCTTTTATTTATTTATTTATTTATTTTTCTTTGAGACAGAGTCTCGCTCTGTTGCCCAGGCTAGAGTGCCGTGGCCTCAGCCTAGCTCACAGTAACCTCAAACTCCTGGGCTCAAGCAATCCTTCTGCCTTAGCCTCCTGAGTAGCTGGGACTACAGGCATGTGACACCATGCCCGGCTAATTTTTTCTATACATTTTTAGTTGTCCAGCTAATTTCTCTCTATTTTTAGTAGAGATGGGGTCTTGCTCTTGCTCAGGCTGGTCTCGAACTCCTGAGCTCAAAGGATCCTCCCACCTCGGCCTCCCAGAGTGCTAGGATTACAGGTGTGAGCCACCGCGCCTGGCCCCTTTATTTGTGAATAGAAGCAGATCAATTTCTTGGCTGCAGATACACCCCTGTGTCCTTGCCACAAAGCTGTAACAGTCTACTCCCCGACTTCACAGGTTAGATAACTACAGTGGACATGCCATATCGGTCACCATCTGACTGTGTGGCTGCCCTGTCTCATTGTCTCCTCTGCAGCACCGTGATTGTGTTTTATGTGCAGAGTGGGCCGCCTTTCAAAGTTCTCAAAGCTGGTGAAGTGGCCCGAAATCTGCACACACGGCTCTCGAAGGAGAAGCCTGACTTCTTGCTTTTCAAGGTCTTGAGGATTGACACAGCAGGTAAGTCTCCAACAGGAATATTGTAAAAGAATCAGACTTGACCGTCATGGTTAAGTTTCACAGGCAAGAAAGAGGAGTGACATGAACATTTTCACTTTAGCACCCAGGGACTTGTTTTGCATTTATTTCTCCAGGTTTACTGTCACACACGTTTGCCAACTACTCTTTGTCTTGGAAAAAAACTAGAGAGCGATACTAGTCTTGGGTCAAAATTTAAGATTATATTCACAGATAATGGCCATTTTCAGATACTTCATATTTAAACTATCAGAACAATGTCAAAAACAAGTGTTACTGGCTGGAAAAGCCATGTATATATAATTTATTTTCCTTGGATGGCATGCCGCAGGTTGTGATGATGGTGTCGTGTAGCTTCTTGAAAATTTGACATAGTTTACAAATGCCTTCTCCACTTGTACCTTTTTTCTTAGCACCTTGCTTGCCACCCCTTCCAGGACACAAACTGATTCATAATGCCACAGTCTCCAACTTCGCCTCATGAGTAACATGAATCTCTTATTATGTCAAAGTGGCCATTTCAGTAGACTCTGGGGAACATGAGAGTTACAAGGGACATGATAATGTTTGGACAAGAAAATTTAATTTGTTTCAGATATATGACTTTCTCAATCATAATATACAGTAAATTAATTTTTAATAACTCTTTTTTCCTAGCTATGTAATATTTATTTATTGTAGGAAATTTAGAATATCCAGAAAGATACAAAGAAGAAACTAATACGCTAGATTCTAGAGTCCACAATTCCCGCCATCCAAAGACAACTTTTGTTAGCTGATGTATTGCCTTCCAGTTCCCCCATCTCTAGGAACACTTAATATAATCAGGATGATTTGATATATGTGTATATATCTTCTTAATCTGACTTTTAACTTCAATTCATATTTTGGTCATGTTCTCAAATCCTTTAAAATTGCTGTTCAGTAGGATGTTATGGCCACATAGTACTCTACCCTGGGTATGTTCCATAATTATGCAACCAGTCCTGTCTTCATGGACTTGAAGGTTGATTTTAAATAATACTACAATGTAGATAAATTTTTGTGCATATCCTCAATTATTTTCACTGGATAGATTCTTAGAATTATTTTCTTAGGCCAGAGGGAACTACGTTTCTGCTACATTTTTAAGGCTTTTGCTACATGGTGAGGATTGGCTTTTTTCTGCATTTTGCTTTCTGAGGAGATTGTCAATGATGAGACTATTCTCAGAATCCCTGTCCATACTGCAAGGGGCTCTTAATTCAGCAAGATGCATCTCTGTGGGGCCTATGCTGTTGAAGATAGAAATGCTGAAACCAGGGATTTCCCTTTGCTCCATGGTGACCTCAGCCCTGCATACCTCTTTGCAGGTTGCCTTCTGAAGTGTTCTGGCCATGGTCATTGTGACCCTATCACAAAGCGCTGCATTTGCTCTCAGTTGTGGATGGAGAACCTCATACAGCGTTATATCCAGGACGGGGAGAGCAACTGTGGTGAGTCCTGGTGGGGAGGTGACTTTGGGTGAGGAGCTTTCAGGCAACTGATTCTCAAGTGTCAGAAATACCTGCCTAGCTTTGCAGCTGGGGACATTCAACCTTTTCTCACCTGAAGCCCAGAGAACCAGTTCACTTGGCAATGAGTTAAGATCCTCCCCATAATTCACTTTGGGGGGTGTGTTTAGGCTTTGGGCAGGGCAGATTTGGCTAACTGTCGCTGGCATTTCTAAGGAAGAGTTGCTTTGGGCCATGGGCTGCATTTCCAGATTACACCTGCCTTGACTTAGGCTCAGTGTGACTTTCTGGTGAAGTGGCCCCTGGTGTGGACCTCTGGAATTAGATAAAGAAGAGAATTTGACCTACTCTTCAGGACTGTCCACCCAAACAGGCACCAGAAATTGGAGCCACAGCCTTAGCAGGCAAACCTGCTAAGGTGCCGTTAGGTCTCTTCTGGGGAGAAAACTATATTTTAATGCCAGTCTACTTCTAAGAGTAAATTTGTTGTTTGGGAGAACCAGATGGATATAATTGGCAGAAAAAATTGTTAAGAGTTGACTGCCAAATTATGTTCCTACCTAATACTACATAAAAATTAGAAAATAGCCAGCTCTTGGATCATTATTCCTAGGAGATAATGTAACATTTAATAGAGTTAAACCTTGTGTCTTTGCTTCCTGGGCTTCTCACTTGCTGAAATTGTGGTTGCAAAGCTTTTTATGCTGGATTTCTGCAGATTTATGGAAGGAATGAGGATCAGGTAGTTTCCAAATTGTTCTATGGCTCTGAAAAATGCCTTCATGCTATAGACAGCCAGATAGCTACTTGATTTGCTTTATTAAAACCAAGCCAGAATTTTTCGGGGGAGGGGGTTGTGATGCTTGGGATTCTGGAAGGAATATTTTGATGTGCCATACATGTGTGGGTGTTTGTATAAGAGGCATTACTATGTAATTGACTAGTTGTAGTTATTTCAGATTATTCTCAAGTCAGCTTGAAATGTGTGCTCCATGAGGTCCCTGAACCAAATGGCAAAAACAAGGCAGTTTTAGGTTGTTCTTGACTTATTTGCATTTTGTCTTGCTGTTCTCTGCTACCAGCCCGATGAGGTGTTAGCAACAGCACAGATGTACTTTACTTGTAGGGACTCAGAAATGTTCATTATGAATCGTCAAAATAAAGTTTCTTTGCAAATGGTATACCGCTGTGTCCACTTGGTTCTCTTGTTTTTCAGAGTGGAGTGTATTCTACGTAGCAGTGTTGGCTTTTGTTCTTACTGTGCTAACAGGAGGTCTCACTTGGCTTTGCATCTGCTGCTGCAAGAGGTACTTGGTGCTTATTTATGTGAAATAGAGACACCTCATTAAATGTGATGTGATAGCTCAAGGATTGTTTGCTTGGGTTTTTTTACACTGCTAAACTGTTTAATAATCACTCTTTTATGAAGACGAACTAGACTCTAAAAGCACTTTGTAATGTAGTTTTCATCACAAGGCAGAAGTGCCTAGGTAAGTGGAAAACTAGAGGCAGCTTTTTCTCATTGTAGTTCTCACATTTTCTAAGAAGTTCAATGATTCTCTATCCAAGCTAATGTTACTCTCTCTCAGTCTCACATTATATTCATGAGAGCAGTACCGTGAGTGGAAAAACGCAAACTCAAACTGTTCTCTCTATTCTGTCACTCAACAATCAACACAGAGACTTCTGTGACCAAATGTGTGGGGGTTTCTCCCCACACACCAAGCAAACAACCAATTCTAAAGAGAACACCAGCTGAGCGTCCTCTAACTCGCTTCTGACACTATCTACCTAGAGATCCCACAGGTTGAGGGCTCAGTCCCCAAGATTGCCCCTCCTAATTCACATGCCAATTTCAAGTCCCAGGTAGTTTTACCCATGCTTCTGACTGATTGGATCCCACAGCTTCCTTGTTGGGTTCAATTAATTTGCTACGGTGGCTCACAGATCTCAGGGAAACATGTTTACTGATTTATTAAGAAGCATATGACAAAGGAAACAGATGAAGGGATGTGTAGGGCGAAGTATGGGGGAAGGGGCGTGGAGCCTTCATGCCCTCCCTGGGCACATCACCCTCCAGGAACCTCCGTGTGTTTGGCCATCCAGAAGCTCTCTGTACCTCATGTTCTCGGGCCTTCTATGGAGACTTCATTGGATAGACACAATTGACAACGATGTAGAAATGCGATTGGACCAAAAGGGTTGGATCTAATCCTAATAGATTGAGAAGGGAAACCCAGCAAGGCCTGTCTGTTCGGATTCGTCTGGACCTCTCTGTGCCGCGTTCCTTCCTCCAGGGTGTGGGGCAGGACTCCTCCTGGATTGGGGGTTTTATGATCTATAATCAGACAAGGCAGGCCAGAGAATTTATGGCCAGCTCCAAGACAGAAAGGCAGGGGGAGATTCCTGCTTAGTGGAGAAAAAGGAGCAGGTGAAAGGAGGGCAGGAGAAAGAGCGAGAGGTTCTGTTTTCCGAGGCTTCTTCTGGGGCCTAAATTACCCAATGTTATACCAAGGCTCTGGGAGTTATAAGCCAGGAACGGTGGATGAAAGCCAATGTATATCATAGTATCACAAATACCTAACTGGCCTTAAAGGTCTCTGTAGAGGAAGGAGTTCTAGAAGTATACTGGTAAAATTATAGATTTTGATTATTTTCATTATGTGAAGCAGCAATCCAATCGATCTGAATCCCTTTTAATAAATTTAAAACTTTAAGTGAGGCAATAACACAAAGAGAACTTTTGTTTTAGGTTTTTCCATTTTCCATTATCCACAGAGTTGACCTCTGAGAAGCCCCTGAGCTGCCTCATTGTCGAATCCACCAGAACCCCATGCTCAACCCTCTGCAAGGAGACTTGTAGGGCAAGTGATTACTCAGGTCCATAGCAGACAGCAATAGTTCTCCTTTTTATATAAAACACTATAAATGCTCTCCAAAGATGTGATTTAAAAAATAGTTATAATCATTATTTTTCAGAAATCACTTATAGATTATTTTAGTTTCATGATTACATTCCCAAAGGTAAGACTGGCGAAAGACAGCCAGGCACAGGCACTTAGACAGAGGCCTGAATCCCATTAAGTTTTCCTAGAGCCATATGGGATGGTAGTCACCCTACTGGGCATGGCTTTAAACATTCTGGATGCCCATTTCTCACCCTCCCTACCCTGTCTTCCCCTGCCCCTCACTTCTTAAAAACAAACAAATAAAATATTCTGTGGCTTTGTGACACATATATCAAGTAGATGATGACAGTGATGACTGTGAACATTAATTATTTGCCATTGTCATATGAAAAAATGCTCAATGTCACTAATGATTAGAGAAAGCAAATAAAAACCACGATAAGATATCATCTTATATCAGTAAGAATGGTTGCAATTAAAAAGACAAAAAATAGCAGATATTGGCAAGGATGCGGAGAAAAGGTAACTCTTATAATGCTGTTGGTGGGAATGTAAATTAGTGCAACCCCTATGGAAAACAGTATGGAGATTTCTCAAAGAACTAAAAATAGAACTACTATTCGATCCAGCAGTCCCACTACTGGGTGTCCACCCAGAGGAAGAGAAATCACTGTATCCAAAAGATACCTGCCACTTGTATGTTTATTGCAGCACTATTCACAACAGCAAAGATAAGGAATCAACCTAAGTGTCCATCAACAGAGGACTAGATAAAGAAAATGTGTACACACACACACACACACACACAAAGGAATACTAGTCAGCCATAAAAAGAATGAAATCATGTCTTTTGCAGCAACATAGATAGAACTGGAGGTCTTTATCTTAAGTAAAATACCTCAGACACAGAAAGACAAATACTGCACGTTCTCACAAGTGGGAGCAAAATAATGTGTACATGTGGAAATAGAGTATGGAATGGTAGACAGTGGAGATTTGGAAGGGTGTGGGGGTGGATGATGAGAAATTACTTAATGGGTACAATGTATCAGTACATTATTCTGGTGAGGGATACACAAAAGCCCTGACTTTAACACTATGCAATCTATCCATGTAACAAAATTATGCTTCTACCCCATAGATTTATACAAATTTTTTAAAAAGTATTTGCCATTGTGATTAATGGCTAAGTACGTTGTATCTGTTCTCTTATTTAATCCTCCCATCAACCAGATGAGAAAGGGACTATTCTTAGTCCCATTTTACAGGTGAGGATAGGGAAGCACAAAAGTCTCAAATAATTTTCTCAAAGTCACCAACCTAGTAAGTGCTAAATGAGGGCTAGAGATCCATGCTCTTAATCATCACACTATCAGAAAATGGCCTTTGTGCTGTGAAATTATTGTTTTGTTCTCTACATATCTTAGCATGCTTTGGATGTGTATTTTCAAATGATCCTCTGTAGCATAGGCTGAGGCACATAGGAACAGCCCAGTTTTCATATTGTGGGGGAAAAAATGAAAGGTTGGGTTGTTGCTAATTAATTCTATTAATTTGTTATAATTTCTGCTGTTTTTTCTTTTTCTGATTGCTAGTTCATGACATCTTTTCATTCCTGCAACACTGGGCATTCCTGGGTAGTACAAGTTCAGGGGAAAATTTGCTCATTCGGGTTTTTCTGAGTGAGGAATTACTCATGGAGAAAAGCTCCCTGGGCCAATACACAGGTGTTGAGAATTGCCCTAAGGGTCCCTCCCACCGTAGCCTGAGGCTTAGCTGAGACCTGTAGTTGGGTGGGTGATAGTGGTGTGGCTGTCATGCCCCTAAATGTGTTTTTCAGGTTGGGTAATGTACCTAAGCCCCACTGAAGTCTGACCTGGCCTTGCACGTGTTTCTTTAATAAAAGATGTCAACTATTATATACCAAAGGCAAGACATTTCCTTCATTGTCTTTCCTGTGTTTTAAATCTTGGACCCCAGTTACCTTCTTGAGAATCTGAGTTGAGCTTTTCATTGTTCCTTTCAGACGAAAAAGGACTAAAATAAGGAAAAAAACAAAGTATACCATCCTGGATAACATGGATGAACAGGAAAGAATGGAACTGAGGCCCAAATACGGTAAGACGGTCTCCAGGATGATTTTCTGGTACCTTTATTTAATCCAGGTATATGCCTGAGAGTTAGCTTGGGTCACAGCGAGAACAGAGGCTGGGGTCATACTTTAGCGGGAAGGAAGAGTGAGGCTGGGATGGCTCTGTGATGAAAACAACCGGAGTCAGTCCTGAGGATATGCTAACTGGGGGAGGGGGGAGGGGTAGGGTTTATTAGAAATTTAATGAAATTTTGGCAGAAATACTTTGAGGAATTAATGGATGAGGAAATGCCAATTATCAATTGAACACCTACCAGATGACCACAGGGCAAACAATGCCTTTGACACAGAAAGGTCCCCAGCACCTGGCCTTTTCTGCTACTGGTTGGAGGGTGGGGGCCATGCGATGATGTTTCCCCACAGCTCATCTCTGAATGCTGCTCCCTTTAGGTCTGTGAGACCAGAAATGCAGCAGGAGGACATTTGGACTTTAAATCAAACATTTTCCCGCAGCTGCATTAGCTGATTAGCCAAGTGTATGGGTGGACACAAAGGCTCCTACAGAAATTGACTTTCTTCACAAAGTGTAGTGATCCCTATGCTCAGAAATACCTTTTGCCCACCTCAGTTAACTTTCTGATTCTTGTTTATTAACTGTTGCATACTTTAATGAAACTTCTTTGACTCTCTAAGGCTGCCTAACATTGATTCTATCGATTTTCCCTAGTTCTGAGTTTATAACTAAATTATAGTTTTAGTTTATAACTAAACTATAACTAAATAGTTATAGTTTATAACTAAATTTAGTTTATAACTAAATTCAGAGGGACATAATCACTTTCAAAGTTGTGAGATGCCAAATGTGGTCCACAGGAAGTGTTAGGTGCCTACCCGTGCGCAGACACCGGGTTAGGCCCTGGAGACAGGGAGAGGAATGAAGCATAGAGCCTGCCTCTGCAGGGGCTCACGGCCTGGGGGAGGATAATTCTGTGGAGTGCAGCATCCTACGAAAGCATGGACGATGCCCGGTGGGAACATGGGTTCAAATGACTGGTTGTGTATGGAGAATGTAACTAAAGGGCTTTGGCAGGAAAAGCTTCACAGGAAATACAAATGGCAGCATGCACCGATTGAGTGCTTGCCATTTGGATTACATAATTTAATATCAGAGCTCAAAGTGCTTTAGGTTGCATTATCTCATCCACCTTTGTCCTAAAATTCACTCATCCTTCTGACATTCGTAGAACCCCCATTCGTGTTACCCTTGCTCTAGCTGCCCCATCTTGCCTAGTCTCTTGCCCTCTTTCCTCATTATCTTCACCACCTAGTTCAGATCCTCACAATCTCACCTCTGAACTAATAGTAATAACAATACTAGTCAACAGGTATTTAATGTTTAACATGTACTAGGTACTTTCACAGTACTTTATCCATTTAATTCTAATCCTACCAATGGCTCTATGAGGTATGTACTATGATTATCCTCATTTTACAGAAGAGGAAACTGAGGCAGAGGAAAGCAGCCTGCCCAAGTAGCATAGCTGGTGAGTGCCAGAGGTCCTGCTCCAGAGCCTGGGCCGGCCTCCTCTACCCTGCACTGCCTTTGGCTTGGTTCCTTTGGGCAGCTGTAACAAAACACCACGGACTGGGTGGCTTATAAACAACAGACATTTATTTCTCACAGTTCTGGAAGCCAGGAAGTCCAAAATCAAGAGGCTGGCAGATTCAGTGTCTGGTGAGGGCCCATTCCTCATAGATGGCACCTTCTCACTGCGTACTCACATGGGGGGAGGGGCAAGGCAGCCTGTGGAGCCTCTTTTATAAGGACACCTTCCCCTTTGATCACCTCCCCAAAGCCCCACCTCTTAGTCCCATGACCGTCAGGGTTAGGTTTGAACACATGAATGTGGGGCACAAACATTCAGACCATAGCAGCCTCTGTGTCTGCAGTCTGCTCTCTAGCGGCCTCTCTTTTGTCCTTCCATCCTGCATACTGTGGTTTTATTAATATCTTAAAACAACATTTCAGTCATGTCATTCCTCTGCTTATAGGATAAAATGCAAACTTCGTGGTTTACCTTGTATTCATGTGCCTTTCTGTGAGAGCTTCTCTCTCTCTGGCCTCTCATTTGTTATTTCCTACGTGAATCATTTGCTCCAATCAGACTGGTTTTCTCTAAATATTTCTGGATGCCTCTGCACGCATCATGTACCTCCCCTGTCCTCCTGTCCAAATTCTCCTTTTTCTTCAAATCCCATCCTATGTGAAACAGCACTGAGGCAGTCCCAGCCACATGTTTGCACGTTTATCTTGATTCATATAAGATTTATTTTTTTAATTTCTCACCTGTTATGAGCCATCTTCTCAGGAGTTTGTCTTGAATCCTTGGCTAGATACTATAAATTCTTTGAGAACAGGGATCATATCTTATACTTGTTGTCTTATTTTGACCCCCAGCAATCAAATATTCTACTAAAAATATTTGAACCAAATAATAAAATCACAAAAGCTTTCATTTATTGGGTGCTCCCTATGTGCCAAATGCTGCGCCAAGAACTTTCTATGCACTGTTTTCCTTAATCCTCTCCATAAACCCATGGGGGTAGATGCTTCGTTATTCCCCAACTTAATAGAGGAGGAGACTGAAAGCCCAGAGAGGTTAGGTATCTTTCCCAGGGTCACACAGCTGGTGAGTGTCAAAGCTGGGGCTCCAACCCAGGTGTGACACCAAAGCCCTGTCATTACTCATTAGGAAACCCAAAGCACCCACTGTGTTGTGGGTGATGGCTTTGAAGGTGCAGCAAGCACAACTCCGTGCTCCTCACGTGACCCGCAGCCAGCAAGACAGGCAGCTGGCAGTGAGTGATGGCGTCGCGCCTCTGAGGCTTGTCTGCTTCTCCCTAGGTATCAAGCACCGAAGCACAGAGCACAACTCCAGCCTGATGGTGTCCGAGTCGGAGTTTGACAGTGACCAGGACACAATCTTCAGCCGAGAAAGGATAGAGAGGGGAAACCCAAAGGTTTCCATGAATGGCTCTGTCAGAAATGGAGCTTCCTTCAGTTATTGCTCAAAGGACAGATAATGGAGCGGTCGGTCATAAAACGCAAGGACCCCACGGGGATCCTTGATCCAGGACTGGTCAGTGGGGTTAAAACACAAAACTAACTCTATTAGAATAGCTCATTTACGTCCTTCCACAGTGGCTGGGTGTGTCCCTACATGTTAAAAGACCTGTTTTCTTGGGGTTTTCGAGGCACAAAACAAAACAAGAATATTGCTTTTTTAACTGGGATGCTTGTTAATAAGAACAAAGGCTGGGTAAAACACTAAGATATATACTTAAAGGGTTGTGTGTTTTTGTAGCTGTCACAATATTATATTGCCCCTGTTAAAGATGAATACCTGTTTCTACTCGTAGACCCTCAGGGAAGGTGAGTTAAATAAGGGTTTACAGAGGGCTGATTTCTCTCTTGGTAGCTGTGGTTGCCTTTAAGGACAACTTTCTAAACATAGTTTCTCAAGTAGGGCCTGCAGAGTCACGTGGCTGTGTGTATTAACATAGCTTACCTAAGAGGCATGGTCGTCTTCTGTGGAGGTGACCAGAGGGTCTCCTGTGCAGCAAGCTTTCTGTACTGACAGTGAAACTCAGAGCAAAGCCCTCCTGTTTTTACTCCTAGGCTATGACCAACCACCACTCCTGTGGTCTCCATAGAGAGCAGCTCTTGGCAGTTCAAGAGCTAAGAACTGTATTCTAAGAACTGAGGCAATGGAAAGGGAGGAGGGGGTTTCATGCCTTGTAGGTTAAAAGTCGAAGGTGGCATTTTACCATTCTGTCTTTTCTTTCTCTAAGAAAAACTACACTGAGGCCTTGCTTAGCCCCAGTTCATGTTAAACACAGAAGTGATGGTTCATTCATTAAACATTTATTGAGTACCTACTGTAGGCTATGTACCTGGACTGCCATTTACAGAGATAAGGACTCAGCAACTGTGTATATGTTCCCAGACTCTGAAACACAGTCTTAATTAGGATAGCATGGTCGTGAGCCTCTGGGCCTTTACAGATACTTTCCATAATAATAACTAGACATAGATGTATTCACTTCATATGTTTTTAAAAATGTATTTATTTATTAATCAATTTTTCTAACAAGTAAATCTTATTTCAAACATATGAAAAAAACTAACCCATTCCCATCCACAAAACAGGACTCCAGAGCAATTGACTGGAGCTAGTTGTAGCTTGCCAAGTTGATTGGCTCACAGTGGTTCCCCATCCACCCTTGGTCCTGAGGCTAGTGGCCTTGGTGGTGCCTTTGGTGTTCTTTGTGGGAAGATAAGAATGAGAGACAGAACCAGTGTTGTGGCAACAAACGTGGCTACACCTGTGGGACACGGTGGCTCGTACCTGTAATCCTAGCACTTTGGGGGCCAAGGCAGGAGGACTGCTTGAAACCAGGAGTTCCAGACCCACCTGAGCAACATAGCAAGACCCCATCTCTACAAAAAATTTATAAATTAGCTAGGTGTGGTGTCACTCCATGAATTAGTATTAAACGTGTTTTGGGACAGGATTTGTCTTAAGGGTTTTACAGAGCTTTGCCCTAAAAGAATATGTAAACGTGTTGGTTTGCATTTCGAATGCTGTTACACTCGGAAGGGTGTCTCTGAAAGGCAGTAGCGGCTGTATCCCACGAGGCGCTGCGTTTCTCAGACCTAAAGAATTGGATTTGCTTTGTAAAGCACAAGCGAATCTGTTAAAAACTATAGGCTGAGAGCTGACAATGGAATGCCCTCCGGAACAAACAGCTTCCCGGAAAGGACAGCTTCCCAAATGGCCAAAAGCAAAGCTTTTGTTTAAACCACTCTAGACTACCTGTCTCCATTCACAATAACCTAATAAACATGGAGCTTACATATCTCTGTTTAACCCCTCTGGTTAAATGATAAACTTACCTTGGAATTTAGAGATTCACCTTTGAAAGACTTTGTAACCATTTGCTCACGTAAATAGAATTAGTTAAAGAATCTGTAGAACCCTTCTGTAAAAGCCTTTTGAAAATCTGTTAACCTGAGAGGTACTACCTGTTGTTATGTAAATCTGTTACCCCTGACAATTGTTCACTATTTTCTATAAGTTACCATGTAAGACCTCATTCGGGGCTTTTTGAGACCAATGGAGAGGTCCGAGCCCCCTGAGCTCCCGCATTGCCTATAATCTTTATAAACTTATAAAACTATATCTTTGTCTCAGTGTATTCTTTTATTTCTTCCATTTTCCATTTCTCTCTATTATTTTCTTATCCCTTGCAACTCTACCAAAGGGACCTGGTTTTTTTGCAGGGAACACTGGCCACGTTCCCCGCAGTGTGGTTGCATGCATCTCTTGTTCCAGCTACTTGGGAGATTGGGGCAGGAGGATTGCTTGAGCCCTGGAGTTTGAGGTTGCAGAGAGCTATGATGATACCACTGCACTCTAGCTCGGGAAACATGGCGAGACCCTGTCTCAAAAAAAAAAAAAGTGTGACCACACCTGAATAATATTCTGTTACACATGCTTTTGTAACACATGGGGAAAACTGGGACTGCATTGCTGATTAAGGGGAAAAGCAAGGCATTTAAACCATCAGGGCAGGAGTGCCACAGAAAATGCTTCCCCATGGGCTCTTAGAAAAAAATTAAGCTTTCAGGTACTTTTATCATCTCCAGGAATATTCATCCTCATGGTACCATCCTGTTTTTAGTTATTGTACTTTACTGGGGAATGGCAAAACTAAAAAGTTTAGGAGTGTCATTTTATTTTTAAAATTTCTTTGCTTATGCCTACACTTTCTGCATAGCTAGCCAGTTTGATACTGTCTGTAGTGTTGGAAGGAAAATGATTTTTTTACACCAGTATTTAGCTTCATAAACCTAGAATCTGCTCTACCTGGTGACCAGGGTTATGTTATTTTTGTGCACACCTTGAAATTTCTGGCATCAAGGATGGCAGCCCTAATATGAAGTCATCGAGCATAATGATGAAGAAAGAGTGAACATTTATCACTGTATGTACATAATATATGCACTTACATACTCATTTGATCTCTATAATCAATGTTGAAGAGGAGTAACTATTACTCTCATGTTGCACAGGTTAAGTAGTTTGCCTGAAGTCACAGCAAATAAACAGTGGATCAGGGAATTTAATGTAATTTTTTTAAACTGTAAAGTCCTGCAAGTCCTGCTTTCCTCTACACAAAGAACTCCTGCCCCAGCCAAAGGAGGGAAAATTCTGGTGGACCTTTTGGACCACCTAAAAGTTCTGTTCCTAGGAGTAGGAGGAATTCCTTTATGATGGGTCCAGAGAGCAAAAAACAAAGGGAGAGATTGCCTGCCTGGTCTCTCCTGCCAGATCACGTCTGGGCCCCCTCCCTCCAGGTGTACAGTGTGCTTCTGCCAGTCCCCCTTTTCTGTCCCTGGCCATCTCAGCCTGGCCACTCTGATCCGTCCACCGCAGAAGGATCTCGAATCTATGAGGAGTCAAACATCACTGTAGTGATCAGAAAGTAGGTCATCTCTTGTCATCCCACTTTCCATCAGAGGACCAGAGCCCGAGGTGGAGTCACCAGCCGGCATCCTTCATCGTGTGCTCCTTATCATTAAGGGCCTTTGGGAGATAAAGCACCCTAAGAGCTTTGACAGATGGAGAAAAACAAGCCCAAGAATATGGGAGGGGGTATTTATAGTGTTCACAGGTTAACAAGCACTCTTAGTTGCTGGTTTAGATTCAGTGAGGGAGTTGCCAAACCCACAGCATTAAGGGGCTAAACATGTTTGTGGCTAAGAATGTGCTTGGCTGGTTGCACTGACTCATGCCTGTAATCCCAGCACTTTGGGAGGCCAAGGTGGGAGGATTGCTCAAGGCCAAGAGTTTGAGACCAGCCTGGGCAACATAGTGAGACCCCCTCATGTCCATAAAAAAATTAAAAAAAAAAATTAGAAGGGAATGGTGTCTGGAGCCTGTAGCCCCAGCTACTTGGGAAGCTGAGGTGGGAGGATTGCTTGAGCTCAGGAGTTTGAGCTTTCTGTGAGTTATGATCATGCCATTGCACTCTAGCCCAAGCAACAGAGAAAGACCCTGTCCCCACCCCCAAACACCCCCCAACCAAAAAAGAACCTCCTAAAAAACATGCAGAGAGGTAAGAAAATTTGCCACTCGACCTGCCAATGATGCCACCCTTATGGGTGGGGAGGAGGGGACTACTGTTCTTGTGTGTGACCAATCTATCATGGACCCTGTTTTAAGTCTTGGTTTTATTTCTTAAAATATATTGTTTTTCTCCATATGTTGGCAAGGTATCATTTCTAATATGACACTATTAAATGTATTACTAATCTAAACAAAGGTGTCTGTATTTTCTGTATTAGCAGGGTGGGGGGGCTGGTAATATGTTTTCTTCATGCTTCTGTGCAGAGAGATTTCCCTTGAGTATGGGCCAGCAAACTGTTGCCCTCAGCTTATTTCTGCACACTTCACCAGCCAAAACATGGGTCTTATGTTTTCACATGGTTGGAAAAAAATATTTTGTAACGTGAACTATATGAATTTCATATTTGTGCTCATAAAGTTTTATTGGAACACATCCACAATCATTCGTTTATGTATTATTATCTGCGGCTGCTCTTGTGTTACAACAAAGTTGAGTAGTTTTGACAGGAACTTTCTGCAAAGCCTAAAATATTTACTAACTGGCCCTTTACACACACAGAAAACGTGCAGAAGCCTAGACTAACACCCCCTGCTGCCTCATCCCTGCGGGAACAGCGTGCGGGAGGAACTGAGCGTGCTCAGTTTGGCCCGCTTGCTCTGCTTAGGTCGCTCTCTGCCATGAACCGACAGTCTGCCCCCTGCTGGACGAGGCCTGCAGTGTGGTGGCGGTGGTGACGGTGTGATTAGATTCAGGTGAGTGTTTTATACCACATCCCCTAATCTAGCTTTTATCAGTACGAAACCATTTTATTTCTATTTATTTTTCTTTTATTTATCAATCCCTTTCTGACCAAACGAAAGCCATTTAAAAAAATAACATATTGACATATAATTCACAATAGAGTGCACATATTTAAATCGTACAATTTGATAAGTTTTGATGTGTGCACACCTGTGAAACCATGACCACGGTCAAGCTAATGAACATATATATCACCCGAAAAAGTTTCCTCCTGATACTATGTAATCCCTCCCTTCCCTGCCAAT